CCTCCGCCCCCAAACCCCACTAGCCCCCCGGCCGCCGCGGAGCCCAAGCCGGAGGCCTCGCGTTCCCAAAGCCCCGAAAAGGAAGGTGCGCCGGGCGGGGCGGCGAAGAGCCCGACGGAGGGGGCCAAGGAGGGGGCCATCCAGAAGGACGGGACCGCCCAGGGGGGCGCCTCGAAGGCTGCTCAGAACGAGGACTTTAAAATGGACGAAGGCTCCTTCAAAACCCCCGACCTTGACCTCGCCAAGGATGTCTTTGCCGCCTTGGGCACAGCCGCCTCCACCCCGGCGCCCGCAGGCCAGCCGGCGTCTTCTGCCCCGGAGACCTCCACATCGCCAGCGCCGGCAAAGACAGAGTAGGCCTCCCCCCGTCTTGTTCTCTCTTTTCTCTCTGCTCTGCTGTGCTTTTTTCGCTCTTTGACGTGTGCGTGGAATGTTTTTATTATTATTATCATTATTATTAATCTGCCTGTTTCTCTCAGGGCCCTAACCTGCCTATCTAACCATGCAGTCGTAACCAAAAGTTTCTCATTCAGGTGTCTTGGATCTCTGTGGTGCCTGGCACCTTGGGGACTGAATTCTCTCCCTAAATCCTCTCATCCTCCTCATCATCCTCTCTCCCCATCTCCACAAAATCATTGTCTTCTCAGCAGCTCCATCCCATCCCGGTGTAGGGACTCAACTGGCAGAAGCCAGGCAGTCGTCCCCTTTGCTTCTAAAAAGCAGAAGGTGCAAAACTGGGCAAAACTCCTTCAAGGGATGTGTGTTAGTGGAGGCTCCTAAGGGGGGTGGGGTGGGGAGTGTGCAGACTACATTTCATGAGCAGGCTCTTGGGCCACATTATAGAGGGCCAGCCATTTCAAGGGTGATTTCTAATTTAGAAGACTTTCCGCCAGGTGAAGGATTCTACCTGGTGATTGCTAAGCAACAACAAAAAGGGTTTCCCATACACGCACACACACACGCACACACCTTGAGCAACATTGCCAGCCAAAAAAGAATCTGAGAGCGGTAGAGGAGAGTCATTTTAATGGTGGTGTAGTGGTGGGCTGCTATGAGCAGGTGACCTGCAGAGGTCGGTTGCCATTCTCGCACCTCATCTGTGTCCCTTGCAAGGAAGATCAGTCTTCTCCTGCTCTGACCCCCATGTCAGGGACACATACACACACACACACCCCAATCCCCTTTTCCCAAACACCTGGCTGAAAGGGCATCGGCCGTCCGCTTCCTAACCCGCCGCGTCTTGGTGACTCTCCCAACAGGAAAACCCCAGTAGAAGAAAAGCCTGCGGTTCAAGCCACGGACGCCAAGTCGGCCCCTGCAGAAGTCAAGACGGTGCCCAACGAAGCCACGCAAACAAATGAAAATGAGAGCAAAGCATGATGGGCCGCAGCGCCGAAGCAAAAACAAAACAAAAATTAAAAAAAAAATTGACAGAACAACTTCACCTGAGCATTTAAAACACAACACACATCTCATCCCTCTGGTGTCTTTGCCTTTTTAAAAAAGAAAACAGACAAAAATGCATACAAAATGGGGGAAATGTGTTTTGGGTTTGGTTTGTTTGTTTGTTTGTTTCCTTTGTTTTGTTTTTGGTAGGTTTGTAGAAAGAATTTTACTTTGTGTGCACTTGCTTTTAAGGAAAAGTAAATACCCCCTTCCGTCCTTCAAAGATAAACACAAAGTCCCCTTAGGAGGCCAAGAATCCTTACAAAATATCCATGCAGAGGTTCTCGTTTGTTTGCTTATTTGTTTGTTTGTTTAAAAAAGAAAAACATTCATAGCCTGTTTAGGAGATTCAGGGCAGAATGAGGAATTCATCGCTTTATCAGGTTCAGCAGACTGGTACAGCCAGTTAGAAAACATTTATTTTTCTATTTTGCAGCCAAGTGGAGGGAGGCAGGGGAAAATCCCCCGTAAACTCTCTGAAGTAAGTTATCCATCTCCCCCCCCCGGCCCCGCCAAACTCTGCTTTCTGTTCACTTTGGATATGTTTTGTACTGAAGTGTGTTTGTGCTTCCTCACTAAATTGTGCTCCCCCTTTGCAGAAGCCCTGACAGTCTCTCACCATCTCCTGTACGGAGCCCTTTGGAATGAACAGGAAGTCTGCAAGGTCTGTTCATTTCCACGGGGCTCGCTCGGGAGACATTTTCCACAGAATGTACCCCCTTTGGGTCTTTGTTTTAATTCCTATATTTCATTTTAGGAATAACGCCCTTGGGCAGATTTGGGAGTATAAACTTTAAACTGCAGTATTCCTTGTTTGTTCTGTTTTGTTTTGGGGTTTTTTTGCCAAGTTTTTTTTTATTTTTCTTCCAGTGTTTACAGTTGACAAAATGTTTTTTAAAAATTTTGTTGTGTTTAAATGTCTATGTAAAATAGCTGCCTTTTTTAAAGAGAGAGAGAGAGAGAGAGAAAGAGAGAGAGAGATTGAGAGAGAAAGTAAATACAGGCTATATAGATGGTAGGTTGACCAGCATGCTTGCTTTGTAAAGGGAGACATTTTAAAATATGGATGTTTACAATAGGTGTTTCCCCTTTATTTCCCTCGACCCTTTTAATTATTATAATTATTTTTTTTCTTACTGGCGTAAGAAAATCAAGTAAACTTTTATCTTAATCCACCCTTTATTTTTACTTTATTTTTTTTTGTTACAGGGGGCTAAAGTAATGACCAAACAGTGCCCTTCATGCTAGCCTCCTGTCACATTGAACTTTAAGCACCTGAATTGAGAGGCAAAGTTTTGAAAAAAACAAACAAAAACAGAAGCATAGATCCAGCGTGTGTGTTAAAAAAGCATGACTTTTAAATGGAAGACACTTAGGCATTGTATTGAACTCATCCACTGACGTCCATGGGGCTTATCCTTGCAGGGCCTGGACCCACATAGTTCAGTCTCACCATCTGATATTTAACAGGCAGCATCCCAACAGGGCAAGCCACGGGCTGGGTAGAAGCTGTGGCTTCTCTCTTTTTTGATAGCATACATGCTTATGGGTCAATCAATGCTGAAAGCAACAGCATTCATTGCTCATTCATAAATCTGCACTGCTGGTGGGTTGAAGGAGGGTCCTTTAAGTGAAAATTATCCCCCCATTAAGTATACGTCATAGTGCTATGTTCAGTCAATGGGCTTGGCCAGTTAAACTGTAATATTGCAGGAGATCTGGGTAAAAAAATGGTCTTGTAGATTATCTAAAATGACCTCAGGACATGGCAGACCTTTCCTCCTCCCTGGCACCTCTCAAGTTTAGAGCAGGAGCGGGGTTTGACTTCAGAAGCTTCCATCACAGTCAACTTGGGAGCATTTGTAAGTTGTATGCAACCATGCCAGTTTTCTCCTTGCCCCAAACCTCAAATAGTGCTAGGTGGTTATACTGTAAGAGGGAAAAGGTCATCTGAATTGGCAGTGACAGGGAACATTTAATAGTATTCAGGACATTGGGAAGAAAGTTCCTTCAAGGTTAACTGGAGCACAATCCAAGTTTTGGGCTGAGCTACCGAAATTGTGAATCCATCATAAAGGATAGGGAGGAACCCCTTCAGAATACTTCCTCTCAGCCCTATGGGACAAAATTTGATATATATATATATTTGAAATATATATATTTTCTCACAGGCCAGGCTATTGAAGTGGCAGGGCTCAATGTCACCCAGGGCTGGCCTGTTAGAATGGTCAGGTTCTCTGGACAGAATCCCTCCCTATAGTTCAGTATGTCTGCAGCATTGATGGGCATCCACCTTGACCGTTAAAGACTAGAACTCGAGTCTATAGGATGGCTGAAGCTTCATTGCATGAAGCCTTTGCCAAACGTCTGAAATGTCACCGCCCTGGATTGCTTGATTCCCATTCGTTTCCGGAAGACATGCACAGCAGAGTCTCTTTCGAATTGCGTCCATGTGTTGGCTTGTCAAAATCCATGCGCTGAGATCTACAACCTTGCTTAAAACGTTCCTTGGCTTACTGTGTTCAAGTCCTTCGGGGGACTGGAGTCTGTGCAGAGTTGTGTCTCTGTGTGCTGTTGAACATTTTTGCCCTCTAGAGAAACCTTAACCACCTACTCTGTGATGGTGCTAGGTCAGAGTCAGGACCGTGTACAGCCAAAAGGTTCTTGGCGTTGTCCCTTCTTCCTACTCCAGGAATCGCTCCCTAAGCTCAGCCAAGGCAAAAGGGAGGGTGTACAGCGAAGGGCTGGTCTCAGAAGATAAGTTTTTTTAAAAAATACTCACTCTGCTTGTTTAAAAAAATATTACTGAAAGTAGTATGTTTTTCTTTCCGCCTACATAATATTTAAAAAGCAGTGAAGCTCACCACTTGGGGATTTGGCAACTCACATTAATATCAATGACTCAATTATTTTTGCACAGTAAAGTTCATTCATGGATCACATGCCAATTCCAAGGCCCATGTGGCTCTGATACGTTCCCTGATCTGTGTCTGAGCGGAAGATTCCCTTTGATGGAAGTTCCTTGCATGTGACGAGGTCTCACATTCAAGATCTTCCCAAGGTATTGAAAATTCATCAATGGTTTGGGAGAGAAGCAGAACCCCTTTCCTCCACCTATCGGGAAAACTATTAAAAATCAGATCAAAAACAAAAACTGGAAGGTTTTATGTCATCAGACCTTCCAAGCTGATTTATCCCTCCATCCACACTCTGTTTAACACTACGCAACTGTTTTGTCCTGTTGAACATCATCAACCCACAACAACATGTGTATCACTGTCTGAGACTAGGTTACCCTCTTTTGTGCAAGATAAAACCTAGCATTTACAAATTTATTCCATGGTCTTGTGCCCAAAGCTGTGACTTTGCTGTTTTTAAAAACTGTACAACTGGGAGTTTGGGGGTATGTAGAGGTGGGGGAGACCAGCCCATTGTATAGATTTTTATTTTTATTTTTAAAATAATAATTTCATTAGAACTGCAAGCTTGTGCACTGTGGGTGCGTGAATATCTTAGTGTGAATTGTGTTTTTTGTCATAGTATCAAAAACATTAAAATCAGGAAAAAAAAGTCATCATAGTTTGGATATGGAAGGTGTAGTGGGAATAGTTTTGGGTGATCAAGAAGAATCCAAATGATGAAACCTTGATTTCAGGATATTTAAAGTGAAGGTAATACAGCTGTTCTCAACCGAAGAGTAGCCTTTAAATAAATATAAAACCTGCAAAATTGAATGCGATATATAACATTCCTTTGCGCTAAGGTAATGGGGGGCCAAAGGAAGGGAGGAGGTTAACAGCGGGGGAGATTGCGGTCTGGCCTAAGCAAAATGGAGCCACACGTTTCGATATAATAATCCCATATACGCAGTCTTACAGTGTGGCATCTCTCAGTTATATAATTTTGAACTGTGAAAAATAAGTCTTTTGTCATTTTGCTAAATGTTGGGCAGGGTGGGGCTCGCTTTTCTGTTGTTTTTGTTTTCTCTTCAGCTCCTGGGGGGTGGAAATGGAGGCTATATTTATATCAACACACACACACACACAAGACCCCCTGTTCGCACATGCAACACCCCTCCGTCTTTGTAGGGCAGCCGGGAGAGGGGAGTGTTGGAATCAATGGTATGCCATGAATGGCCTTGGTTTATGACTATGTTGCAGAGGGAGAGACCATGGCCCTTAAAGGAATTGGTTTTCAGAAGGACGAAAAATATGGCCCCAGAGAATTCTCACGTGGGTTTTTTTTCCCCTCCGGGGCAAAAAATGTTTGATCTGGAACTTAAGACAGTTGTCCTTCTTGGTCCTTAAGGATGGCCACCCTGAAAATGGGGACGCCTGTGCAAAATCTGTAAAAAATATTGCCCTGATCTGCAAATACTTTACCCCATTACAACTCCAACTTTTAAATGAGAGCAACGCAGGTGAAAGATTTTCTGAAATGACTTCCTTACGGGGAGCTCATTCAGCAAGGCTGGTTGAGGCTGCCCTTTTTTGAGGCGTAGCAAAAAAAAAAGTTGGATGGAAACCCAGCTGAAAAACGGCTGCGAGTTCCGAGACATTTTGATGACATTTTGGCCTCGTTAGACAAGAGCAACGTCTCATGATTCCTGGAGGAACCAAGACCTAGCCCACAAGGGTCGCCATTTTGCCCCTTTGTCCTCACCCATACAAGCATCCTTCAGCTTAACTGCCATAGTAATTGGAGGCAGTGTGTGCTTCTTTTTAAGAGCGCTCTGGCGCCGGAGCGTTCCCTGGTGGCATCTATCGGAGCTCTTGTTGAACAGAAACGGGCGGCCACTGCGACTTCTCTGCAGATTTAAACCCTTGGAGCAGGCTGCCTACACCGCCGGCAGAGAAGGAGGCTTTTGAGAATGTTTTCGTTTTTGTTTTTATATATATATATATAAAAAATCAAAACATCCTGTTTTGCAATTTTTTAAAAAACCGAGTCTTTGCATTAGTTTTATTTTTATATGTGTATATTTTATTTTTCAAGCAGACACAAACTTTTGAAGAGGGACCAACAATACACTGTTTACAATGCATATATTTATATATGTATGTGTCATACATATATATCTATCTAGCCGCCCAGCTTCTCATAGTACAGTAAACATGTATTTCATGCAATGTATTAGAAAAATAGCACATTCTCTTGCTTGACTTTTTTTTCCTCCTTGGGATTTTTTTTAAACCGTGTGTGTTTTATTTCCCTCCCGACTCCTTCTGTGGATGTTTTTCAGGCCCCTGGAGTTCACTTTAGGCAATGGGGTGATAGTGGTTCTCAGTCCTCCATTCACGTCTCTACCCAGCATTCCCTGTTTTAGGGGCCTTCTCTCTTGTTATAAAAAACAAAACAAAAGACAAAAAACTTTTTACCGAGTGAAACATGGATACCACCTTTATTTCCATTCTCACCAATGTAAATACTGATACTAACGGAGAATTTTGACTTTGCATTCTGTCAGAAATACTTGTGTTCAAATAAAAATTACCAAAAACAAAACAAAAAACCCAAAAGCCCACATACATCTTGGTCTTTTTTTTTGTTTGTTCATTTGTTTTAATATCGTCTGGATGCCTACTATACGGATATTATTGCCTGTTTTTGTGAGACTGTTAAGAAGAGGTTTTAAACAGGATGTTAGCAAACTAGTCAAGGAGACTACCACTCGAACGGCAGAGGGTAATCACTGGCGTCTCCAGTTTTAAAGATGAGTTAAAATAATGGGATCATTCTTCTTGTGTTGTCTTGGAGAGCCTGTGTCTGAATAAGCCATATTGGGCCAAATGGACCAGAATTTATCCTGTTGCAAGCCAGCTTTTAGTGTTCCTATGAACTGAACCAGCAGCAGGGTGGGTGGACCACATCAGGGGCATTAAGCCAGCATTTCATCTAAATGATAATTGGACAGGGGAAAGGGAATTTGCCATTTTGTTGGGCGCAATGTTGGTTGCAAGTTGCAGCTAAGAAGCCCCTCCTTTGAATTTCACCTGAACTGCACCAGCCCTTGGGCCCGTTGCCCTCCAAAGCTTGCTTGTTTTTAATCGGAATTAACACCCACGCTCACTCAGACACACAATCCCTTCGGATATTAAGTTTCTAATCTAAGTTGGCTTCACTGAGCCCATTAATCAAAGTCCCATTTGACAAGCGCAATTATGGTGCACTTTTCATAAACAAATCCTGTGGGTGAAAGATTCTCCCAGCTGTTGTTCATCTGACGTCTTCAAAGAGAGCCCTGTGGGTGAAAGATTCTCTGTTGTTCATCTGACGTCTTCAAAGAGAGGAAAGGAAGGCGCTTGCTGGAAAGGAAACTGGATATTTAAAAGTTAACAGCTGTGCTTTGGGTTTCTCAGATGTCACTATTGGTGCCCTTATTGCTGAATCCTGTTATGCAAAGACAGAAGTCCATTGCTCATGTCATTTGCCGGAAGAAGACCTGAGAACAAAGCAAAACATACAGCTGTATTGTATGAAATCCTAGAAATGGTAGGTGCTCCATGTTCATTCCAAACCTATAAGAAGGGCCTGGTGCATTAAACATTAGCCAACCCTATGCCCTGTCCTGGTTCTGGCATCAGGGCATTCCTTCTGAGTAGGGAGGTTCTAATTTCGATGATTAGGACTGATTGCAATACCCAACTCCTTGTATGCTCTGGCAATGGAGTTGTGAAGTTGGAATACCAATCAGAACAGTTGTGTATTCAAGAACCAGTGCCGATTTTAACACTGTTTGAAAGATGTTATCTACAAGGTTATCTAACTTCGCCAAGACTGAAGAATGTATCATCTGACAAGATCACTTGTCATCATCTAGTCTAGCTAACCAAAAGTACTGAGGGAATATTGATGACATAATTTTTAAAAGGTCAACAGGACTACTTCCCTTTCTCTCCTGAGCATCCTCTCTCTTTTCAGAAGAGGCACAGGAAAGTGTGTTGAGGGCTGTCAAAACGAGATGCACATCAAGATGCCCTGAGCAGGTTATCGATTCTCTGTTCCAGAGAGAAAGAAAAGAAACAGCACCCGAGTGTTGCTGATGCCAAACTAGTACCTACAACATTTCCTACATTGCTCTGGGATACCCTGTGATTATTTACGGATCTGCACCCAACTTCGTCTCATTTGTGAGCATGAAACTTTGCACACTAGCATCTGCTATGATAAACGGTAAGTGGCTCTTCCATAAGTGTGTTAATCTTCCAGAGAGCCATGCGGTCGGGCACCTGGGAGACATTGGCCTTAATTTACAGTGGTGCAGATCACATGCCAGTGTGCTCAAATGGCATGTCTGCTGTTTCCAGAGCCAGAAGCTGAGTTAAGCAACAAAACGCTAAAAACACTGAAGCAGAACATTTTTATTTTTCTTTTTTTAGTTATTCCTCAACCACTGGATTCCCTCTGCTGGAGTTCAGGCTTCAGGATCAGAATTTTTTTTCTTATGCCAAAGAATGGATTGGAAAATTAAATTCTTCCTCTGGATGTGGGTATGTAGACTGATGTAGTCTACTGGAAATGGCCCACGTCCTCTGCTTTTCTGGAAGGATATAATTCAGATCTTCACAATTTTAAACGCTGGTTAGATTTGCTACATACTGGGTGGGCTGTGGCCTTTGCAAGCCTTCCTCAGAGTAATCTGTGATGCAGCCTGCTACTTCTGACAATCCATGTTAGCAAGAGGCTTGAGGATAATCAAGTATATTAATTTGGAGTGTAGGAGTGGCTCTATGAACATCATTATATTGGAAAGATGAGCATCATCGTATTGAATGAAGGATACAAAACTTGCCACAAACATTTGAAGGATAAGAGATTAAAATGTGGCCCGGCAAAGACACATTCTGTCCATCCCACTCACCTCTCCCCCAAGGCTGATGAGAGCATTAAAATATGGCCAAGTAGGTAGAAAGGAGTGTTTGTTGGGTTCTTGAAGAGTGGGCCATGGAACTTGGGATCTGCCCTACATATTTACTGATATACACTAACATTACTGGCTTGCCCTTTAACTTATTGCTGCTTTTAAGTATGTGAACATCACTAAACCTCCTACTATTCACGAGCCTGTGCTTTTTCAACTTTTCCTTTTCTCTTCTGATAGTTTCCCTCCCTGCCAAGCAACCAGAACTGCTCATTCCCACCCTCCTGTGTTTAATTTTTTTCTTGCCTTGATGATTGTTCACCGGAGCTTGCTCTGTGATTAGAAATGGAGATGGGATCAGTTGCTTGGCACTACCTTATGCTCCAGGAACCTGCCAGCCCCTTATCTTCCACAGCTGGATGAACACTTAATAAGTGTTAGAGGTGATTGGCGGTCCTAATTAAAAATAAACAGTTGTGGTTGTAGCAAAGAACTGGAAAGTCTTCTGGAGTGGAAGGTGATGGGATGCAAAATTGAAAGAAGAGCTTGTTCCTTCTTTCCCTCCTTTCTAAAAGAAGAATTATAGTTTCGAGACCTTCCCTTCTCCCTAAATCCTCTTACTTTGAATCTTGGCTGTTTGCTGCAATGGAAAAGGCACAATAATTGCGAAGTTGTTTGCCTGGCTCTCTTTGGGTTCCTTCCTGTAATTTGAAAAGTTTAAGGGAATTGCTGACCTTCAGAAATCTTCACACAAGTGAGAAAAAAGTGACCGGCTTCAGGGCAAACTGCGTATAGATAAGAGGAAGCAACAGCGGGAAGAGCAAGAGAGGGGGTTGAAGAAAACATAACTCTTACTAGGACTTCCTCTCTATTGCATCCCAATTAGCAAAGCAATTTAAAAGGTAATTAGTCTCCTCTAAACATCACCCATTCCTCCTAAATCTGTTTGAGTTGGCACCAATTGCAACGTAATTGATGCCAACTCCCAACAGAGGCGATCTCTTGAATATAACGTTGACCTACATCTTTTGGCAATATCCTTGATCCAACCACACCCATCTGGCTTTGGCTTTGCCATACTGTTGTTTAAATAATTCCAGACTGTTTGTTGTTTTGGTCGGCCGCTAGACAATATTAAAAGTGAAACAATCAAGAAAACAAAAAGAAAATAAATACAGTATTTTTAAAAACAGAGATGAAGGCACCATAACGGATACAAATAGCAGCCTTCCAGCACTGCAAAGAGCCAACAAAGCACATAGTAATAATTAAGCCCAAAGCCTTGTTCAAGAAGGTATCTCTTTGCTGCACAATGGAAAATGAAAAAGCCATGAAACCCCCTAAAGAGAGGGCATTGCAACATTTGGGGGCTGTAACCGAGAAGTCCATCTTCCATGTCCCCAAAGACAGAGTAGGCTCTCCAGCACTGAACTGGCCCATGTGGTCAACACATATGGAAGAAGCTCATGCCAGTTTTGACATTGCCAACTGTTGTGGTAATGGCCACTGCCACAGACATCTCTTTTTCAAAAGTCTGGACAAATTCATAATGATTTCAAGAAGTCCTCTATCAATGGCTTTTAATCCTGATGGCAGTACGCCAGCAGCTGAGGAACATAAACAAGAGGCTGGTTGTGTCTGATTGTGTCCCATTCATGTCCAAAAAAATTAAAAAAAAACTGGTTGGCTTATGGCTACTATGAGTGACAAGATGCTGAATTAGTTTTTTTTTTTGTCTGATCCAGCAAAGATTCTAATTTCTTATTATTCTGTATTTCAAGAAATTGCTGCAATATAATTCACCACTGTGGGTTTTCTGGCATATAGTAGATGTTAGTAGTTTCAGTTAATTGGCCGATCAATTGGGTCAATTTAGTGTGCATTATAAGAAGGCTTATGCATCCTGCCACTTTGTGATGAACAGATTTTTTCTAATATTTAAAAAAATACAATGCTATTACTGACAAAGAAATGTTTTCAGAAACAGAAGATTGAATATAGCTACACAGAGCTGAATCTTCCAACAGACATTTATGAAACACATCAATAGTATACAGTATATCATGGAATTATTGGGTTGGCTTATGATAACAACTGCAAAGAGGCTTTGTGCTGAACACGTGAGGATAAGAGAAGCACAAACAATAGAAGAATGAAAAACTAAAATGTAAGATGGCACTATAATAGAAAACTTAACAAAGTACATCACAGTCGAAAGAAACAGACAGAATGGAGATAGACCAACTGAAATCTAAGATTTCAGTTCTTGGTGCAACAAAGCATACACATTAAATGTCAGTTGTTTAAATTAATTTATTATAGCTTAATGACTATGAGCACACCAATAAGAACTCTCTTATGGGGCCTTTTATAAAGTGCATTGTTATTCTACCTATAGAAAATTGGGATATTATGGCCACAATGTAACTCAAA